AGTTGAAAAAAAAAAAAAAAAAAAAAAAACACATCTTAGTAAAACCAATACCTTCTCTGCTTCGCATCGAAGCTAAAAATGAACATTGTAGACCACCCTGCATAATAATTAGTCTAAAAATTCAAATACTTCCATAGAAATTCACATATCTCCTAAGAAAATAAGGCCACAATTTATAAAATATTATGATAATCAGATTGAATTTAAAATTATGACTTTCCATTAAAATTATATTTTAATTAAATTCAATTTTTATGGTTTGAGCCTATATTACAATGCTGACATAATAATTATTATGTTGAGATATAATAAACTGAATATAAAGATAACAAAATGTCAAAAATTACAAATGTAGAGTAGTAGCCTTATTGTTCTAATAGTGTTGTATTAAGTTTTTGTTAAAAACAAAGCAAACAATCATGTGAGATAAACAACTTTTAAACCAATGTTGAAAAAAATATTTATGTTAGTTAGAGAATAAAGTTATGCTAGAGCTAGTTTATTTTATACCAAACTATTTTAACATAGATAAAGAAAATATAGTTATTCTTCATTGGAAATTTCATATTTTTATAAATGCAATTAAATAATATTTAATTGGATTTATAATAACAACCTACATATCATGTAGGATGTTATATAAAAAATAACGGGAATTGACGTTTTTTGAAAATAATATTTATTTATTCGTCTACATTAATATTTTCGCCATAAAGTAAGTTCCCATTAGATATTATTTATGAACTTATGTTTTAACTTATGATTCTTACAATCTTCGAAACACTTCTCAAACACGATCTTTAGGATCAGCTTGTTTATCGATGAACTCTTAATGTCATCTATACTTGTAAAACGACAGCCCTTTAAGGTACTCTTTATTTTTGAAAATAGAAATATCACACGGAGCCATGTCTGGCGAATATGGAGGCTGCAGTATTGTTTTGGCAAAAAATTCACAAACAAGCAATATAGTGTGAGCAGATGCATTATAGTTGTGCAAAGCCATGGATTGTTTTGCCACAAATCCAGACGTTTTTTTCGGATTACTTCACGCAAACGGCGTTGAACTTGTAGATATTATTCCTTATAGACCATTTGACCTCGTGGCAAAAATTCATGATACACTATGCCATTAAAATCGAGAAAACAATGAGCATAACCACAAGTTTGATAGCATTTGTCGAGCCTTTTTCGGTTTTGGCGATCCAGAATGCTTTACGATTGAGTCTTAGTTTTGACGTCGTATCCATAAACCCATGTTTCGTCACCCGCGTTATAATACGTTTCAGTAATCGTCGTTGTCTTCATTAAGTAACTCCTAAACAACTTCCATTCGCCTCTATTTTCGTTCAAAATTAAACAATTTTGAAACAAATTTCGTTGCTACGCGTTTCATACTGAAACATTCGAAAAAATTTCAAGGCATGGTTTATGCCTTGAAATTTTGGAATATTGATTGGTTCAATCAATATTCCAACATCATTAGCAACTTTTCTGATTGCGATCATTCAGAACGTTTTCATCGGTTATTGATGTGCTGAGGCGTCCGAGGAATTTGTCATCTTCAACGTCTTCACGGTCATCTCGGAAACGCTTATACCACTCGCACACTCTTTTTTTTGTCCACGGCATACTCACCATAGGCCTTTGTTAATATTTCACACATTTTGTTACACTTTGTTTCATATTTTACGTAAAATTTGATACAAATTCTTTGATCCAATATTTTTAACAAATAAAAATCGCCGAGCTCATAAAAACACGTCTAACCTTAGTGGCTGCCACTAAGTAAAAAATTAATTCAGCTGAAAATTTTATCATACTTCAAGAATACGTGGCCATAAATTTATTTTACCACCCTATCGAGATTTTTAAAAATTTTTGTTTTTTATAGATTTAGTTTTCCATTCTGATTAAGAATATATAAAAAATTTTGTTGGTGAAATATAGTATAAAAGTTATAAACACATCTTAGTAAAATGAATACCTTCCCAGCTTCGTATTGAAGCTAAAAAAGTATAGTTACACGTTTCAAATTATTATCAAGTCGGCATCGCGTACCTACAAAACGGCAAAAATATCAGGTTCGTCATAATTCAAGATATTAATTCATGATAAATATTTGCATTTTAGCTTCGATACGAAGCTGAGAAGCAATTAATTTTTAAAAATAACCAAATCAATATAATTTTTTTTTTATAGATACCTTAGGTATTTACCTATCATTTTATAAATTTTGGNTTTTTTTTTTTGTGTCTGTGAACGCTCAATCTCAGCTCTCGCTGGACCGATTTTGATGAACAATATGTCAAAAGATCACAAATCGTATCTAGTCGAAGACATTACCCTCAAAATTTGAAAAAATTCCCTCGTTCCTCGTAAATGGGGTAAATATTCAAAAAATTACAAATTTATAAATTGCTAATTTTCGACATTTTTTCAATTTTTTTTACTTAAAACTACCATAATTTTTTTAAAAATAACCAAATCAATATAATTTTTTTTTTATAGATACCTTAGGTATTTACCTATCATTTTATAAATTTTGGTGAACATTTGACCCTTTACAAGCCTACAGGAACGATTTTAAAATAGTAACTTTTTCAACTTGTTCCNACAAATATTGTATCAAGCCCTTTAAATTTTTATACACGTAAAAGTAAAGCAAAATATAACTTCTTTATTATTTTTATAATTTCTCCGTATAAATTTCAACATAAAATTATTGAATATCAATTTCATACTAAATTTAATAACTATAATTAGTTTTATTCATATATTATATTTTAAAATCAAAGAACTACTAATCAGGATATAATTAAAGAAATAAGAGTTAATGTTGATTTTGTAATCATCCACCAATTTCTTAGAATTAAACACTATCTACAGATTTGCATCGAAGCGTTTCTTATGATAGTGATTTTAATCACTGTCATCTATACTTGTCCCATCTATGCCTCGTCCACACTGTGCCGCCACTGTTACCTAATTTTTTTTTTTTTTGATAATCAGACTTTCCAAACCCACGAAATTTAAAAATTCATGTTTGAACACGCCTCGTATATTTGCATGCATTTATATTTTTTTAATGAAGTATACTATAAACTTTAGTTTTGTTTAAGAACATTGTATTTGCTTTATTAATTAGAAAATATTAAATAAGGCAAGGTTTAGCATTTACTTTGTGTACAAAAAAATGGGACATAATAAAACTTACCTTAAATAAAATACTGATCCTGATGATTCTTCTCTATAAACAAACATATTACGTCGATTCTTTACAGAAAGTTTATCTAATACAGAGTGTAAGACTTGAACTCCGAGTAAAAGCATTGAAGACGATTGTTGAAGTCTAGGATGTAATATGAATTTTGCAGTCCAAATAATAGGGCACCTGAACTGTCCAAAAGTAAAATTACTAGTTTTTTTTTCATTGTCACCATTGATAGTATCATCTACCGAAAATTAGTATAATTTGTTAATATGATTTTGTTTATTCAATTTTAATTATTACCATCATCAGATTGTATATGATTTTCAGTAATAGGCTCTAACAACGGATCACACATTCTAGTATCATGTAAACGGCAAAGCAAAAGTGTTTGATTAACAATAGTAGCTGCATGACATATATGTTGCCTAACGACTTCTCTTACAGCTGCATACCTTCCACGAACATCGAGTTCAGTAAATCTAAATATAAAATAATTTTGAATAAAAATATAAGAATATTGGTTTTGTTTTAATATGCCAATTCACAATCACTAATATCTTATAAACACTTTCAACTAAGTTTATATATAACAATTTATCAAAAATTTTTATTGTTTTTATACAAAAACCATATTTTTTTCTTAATTTTTTTGTTCGTTTTAACCATTAACACATATCAGGACGTCAAATCATTATTTTTGAATCAAATTTTATTACATAAGCTTTAATTAGGTGGACTCATTACTATGGCAAACCCTTGTAAGGTATTTGAAAAAAATTATAGAAATATAAAATCAAAAATTTGATTTAGTAGAGCTAAAATATTTGTGAATTCTTTAGGTAGATGATTTATATGCATTTAATGTCATTATTATGTTAAATACAATGAACAACATAATAAACATATCAAACTTTTCACCAGCGATTATTTTTCATAGTAAAATTAATACCTATTCAGTTTTGCATCGAAGTACAATTTATATAAAATAGTGAGAAAAATTACCAAAAGCTTGCTTAAATAGAATTAAATTAATGATGAGGAAGAAAATTATTTTGTTCTTTTAAGTTACATGTTTTTCTCAATTTCCCAATTTTATCAAATTTATTTTGTGCATAAAAGTTTAACTTATATTTTATTGATAATAACTGGTTTTTAAAAAGAGGCTTTTTAAATTTTCATATATTTTTTAGAATTCTCTTAATACAACATTTATAGAATAAAAAATGCATAATGGGACATTTTTTCAAAGATTGAAAATGGTATTTTTTTATAATAATGTCTACCATTAGAAAATTTTACTAAAAATTATTAAATAAAGACTTATATATATTTATCTATATATATATATATATATTATGCACCTGCAATGAAAATATAAAAGAACATCTAATGAATTGTTTTCATCTAACGTATCTGATTGAATTTTTAATATGATCCAAAAGTTTGGTAATGATGGTCTAGACTGTTCAGCCTCAATCAAACAATTTTCAGAATCACTATTTATTTCAACTTCTTTTTTTTTTTCATAGAAATTTGTATTGTTTGCCATAACACTTACATCTGTAGTTTTTTTTTTAACTACATAAAATGTGTCATCAGTTGATTTTGCAAGCTCATAAAATCCACCACCATTTTCTTGATCCAGTTTAATATCCATTTGATCAAGTTGCTAATAAGTAATAAAAGTAAAATTTTAATCATTTAATTTTTACAATAAAATTGGGGCCTGTTTATTCACAATTAAATAAGACTATACTATAACCATTGTTGTCAAAAATACTTTAAACATATTTTTTATTTATTACTCAAATACACTATAAAATAAGTTTTTAAAATACTACATATAGGAAAGTTCGCAATTAAGTATTTAAAAAATTATTTTGAATTCCTAAAAATTTTTTTTGCTAACTGACTTACTAACTTATTATTAAAATCATCATTACCCCTGTTGTAGGTAGAAACGTCATTGGTTGATACGTATTTACAGGATGTAAATCGGTATTTTATAACAATTTTTTTTTTATTTAGACTAAATATATTACAAATTTAAAAAAAATGTTGTAATCTACAAATTGTGAGAAGTTTTAGGTTTGAAGATTTCCCATGATAATGTTGGCATTTTAAAGATAGTGACATTAATTGTATAAAAGTATGAAAGTGGTAACTACTCAGTTTAGGTTTAAACCATTATCAGGTTACAATAAAAAATAGAATTTGTGAATTTACAATATTAATAATAGGAGTGAGTGAATATAAATTTTTTCCAATATTATATTGGAAAAAATTAAGTATACACTATTATAGTGTATACTTTTAGTTTTACTTAAGAAAACTTAATTTTTGTCTAGATTAAAAATAAAATTATATCATATTTAAAATTGACTAGTATTTTGTTTTAATTTATTATTATACTGCCGTGCTAAGCAAAAACAAGATAACTCCAAAATTAAAAAAAAATTTTTTTTTGTTTTTATAGGTAAATTTAGTTGTTTTACGCCGATTTTTGATGTAAAAATAGCATATTTCCTATTAAAACCCATCTAAAATTGAAATATAAAATAAGAAAATATACGGCAAGTTCAATATATTTGATGTTTTCTAAGCGAAAACAGGGTAAATCCAAATACTAAACAAAAACTTGGTATATTACATCAAAAATAATGGAGTTACCGTCTTTTGGCTTATGTTCATACATTGGGAAAAAAGGGTATTTTGATTTACTGTTAAAAATTTTTTTTTTGCATTCCTGAAAAATCACGTTGACTGGAGTTATCCTTTTTTCGCTTAGCACAGCAGTATAGCTCTTAGTAATGTTAATCTTACCAATTGGTAATATTATAAAAGTTAACGAATAATTTAGATAAAAAATGAAATAATTTACAAAAAGAATTAAATATTAATTTATATAAACTAAAAAATGATTATTTATGTTGAAGATATTCCTCTGTTATCAACATATTAGAAATTATGAATTTAATAGTGAGTTTACAAAGTACAAAAATGTTAAATACTGAATAGCCGAATCTTGAAAGAAGGATTATGTTGTGAACAAAATTATATTGTGTTATTTTTTAAGGGAAAGAAAAATATCTGGACTAATACTAATTAAAAAAAAACGATTTTATGATATGGTTAATATTAGTTGATACAGGATATCAGATGCGTACCCTTAATTATTTAGTATAAAATTATATTTTTGTATGATGTGTCATCAAAAAGAATAAAAAGAAATATTCACTACACGCAACTACTTAAATATTAATAAAAATTCATTTTCATATTAATATTAATATTTTAACCGCAATAAGATTTACAGGAGAATTTTCATTAAAATTTAGCAAAAAAAAAAAAACCCAGGAGTACTGTTCTATATAGCTCTATTAAAGGGATGACTATTCAAATTATACAATCATAATTATGATATTTATTTATTTATATTCATTTGAGTTTTTCTTAATATAAAATAGTTTCTTAGGTAACTAGTTATAAATAGAATTCTAAAACCAATAGTATAATTCAGGTTAGGAATATTGGCTTTGTATGGCCCAAGCATAGATATTGAAGAGAGGTATACGAGTTTTTATATTCCATAACTTGTATTAGACACTTTGTATACTTAAAAAAATATATTATACTTTTTTAAAGTTATTAAATGAATTTGTATGTAATTTTCTTTTAAAAGAGAACTGTTTATTAATTCAAGTTATTAAAATAAACTTTTTTTTCCCTGTGGATAGGGGATAAGAATACTTCCACGGCCCCTCTGCCAGTCGTAAGAGGCAACTAATGAGGTTCTGTCAGGTCGACAGCCGGCGTAAAAATCTTTGTCAAAAAAGTATGAGGGATCTTGAACAAAACTTAAGAGGATTATCCCATCTCGGATGTACGCGGGGACAACAGAAAGTAGTTAAAAACGGAGAAGGCCTAAGTGGGATGTGATGAAATAGATAAGGAAGTGTTTTGGAGAGAGATGGATAGGGTGATGCAAGAGGTACCTGGCAATGAGGATACGGTGATAGGTGGAGATATGAATGGACATGAAGGTAATGAGAGGAGATGATATGAAAGAGTACATGGAGGGTATGGTTTTAGTAGGAAGAATGAGGTCGGAGAAAGAATCCTGGATTTCGCAGTATCGTATGATCTTGCTGTGGTTAATACTAATTTTAGAAAGTGAAAAGAACATTATATAACCTATAAGAGTGGGAGAAATAGATCACAGAATGATTATTTTATGTGGAAGAGAGACAGCGTAAAGCAAGTTAAGGATTGTAAAGTTATACCAGGCTAGAGTGTAACTACACAGCATAGACTGATGGTAATGGAGTTTTGGTGTACCAGAAAAAGAATATACAAAAACAGAAGGAACACGGGAGAAAAATCGAAGAGGGTAAGTATCCTAGGGCGACACTTATTTGAGGTGCTTAAGATATACAGGGTGTTCAGTAAGTCAGGAAACGGGTTTCTATTGTTCTCATTGTTTGTAACAATGAGAACAATAGAATTNTGTTCAGTAAGTCAGGAAACGGGTTTCTATTGTTCTCATTGTTTGTAACAATGAGAACAATAGAAACCCGTTTCCTGACTTACTGAACACCCTGTATAAGATGTATTTTGTTTAAAAATAAATTTATTATATTATTCATTTATGTTACTGCTTTTGTATATTTTATTTATTTAATTTGAATTAACGCTATCATGGAGCACAGTAAATACATTAAAATATTTGAATATAACATTTAATTGTTGACGGTGTGTCAACAAACTTATAGAACTAAAATTAAATATAAAATATTTAATAGGTGGTAGATTATTCAAGCTAAAAAAGTTTAAATGTGTTAACTTAATACTCTCGAGATATTCTATCAATTGGTGTATTAAAACCAAAAGACATTCTATGTGAAGAACAAGATAAAGTTGGACAGGTGGGTTTATAGGTGTAGCGTCAATTGTGGATAAGATGAGAGAAATTAGACTTAGATGGTTTGGTCATGTTATGAGGAGAGAGGAATCGAAAGATGTAAGAACAGTTATAGAAATGAATGTTGAAGGAAGAAGTGTTAAAGGAAGACCAAAAAAGATATGGAGGGATGCTATTGAATGTAATATTAGGACAGCTGATGTGAGCGTAGATGATGTGGGAGATTGTGTCAAGTGGAAGTTTAGGATAAGGGTGGCCAACCCCAAGTAGTTGGGATTAAGGCGAAGAAGAAGAAGAAGATTAAAATAAATTATTTTTATATGGTGTTGAAATTTATATCAATGGTTACAGTTCATAAGTTAAAATTTGATAACTCGCATCATCGATAATACCATTAATATTTTGTCAACAAAATTATTTTTAAGATTTAAAACAAAAAATACAACAGAAGATTTATTTAAAATGTTGTAAACTTTAATTTAAACTAATTATTAATTTAATAATTGATTTACCTGGATAAATAAAAGCATGCTACTAAAATAAGAAGATCCTAATGGTGGTTCTACAAAATTTACTGGTATTTTTTGACTACCATTTGATGAAGACATTGATGAATTAGAAACATGCTGGATAACTTTATCTAATGTACCAGGTGTAATTGTAGTATCTTCAAGTAAACCAGCTGCCATTTCATCTTGCATACACCACTCCACCTTCATTAATATTAAATTAATACTTATAAAAAATTAAATAACATACTGTCCATACCTCTTTGATAAAAGCAGCTAAACCTCGTGCATATCGAATAGGTAATGATGATAACAGTGAATCATCACATGTATCATTAGGTTTTCTAAACATAAAATGTGGTTTAATATACAAACAAAAAATATTACATTTTTTAAATACATTTAACTTACTGGAAAGTACTATGGGACATTATTTGGGCTGGTTCTATACAACTAGTTTTATTAATTATGTCATTATTCTTATCATTAATAACATTATCAATGTCCACATCAGTATTTGCTAAAATTAGACAGTATATATCTAATGACACCCGTACATCTGTCAAATTTACATCTGGAATGTTTGAAATCTCATCACATTTGTCTTTTTCTAATAGTTCAACTGAAATTCCAATAGAAATACTATTTGTAAAAATCTTTAAAAATATTAATTTTTTCTATACTTACATATACAAGTTGGTAAGGAACGTACAGAACTACTTTTACTCATAGTACTAGTTTTAACTGAACAGACAAGGTGAACAAAAAGGGGGGTTAATTCTTGTTCTTCTGACTCTTCTTCATGTAAACACTGTTCATTTAATGATTCTGTTAAAGTATTTTCTGACCTTATATTTGAAATACTTTCACTAGATGATGACTGAGTATCATTGATAAAATTATTTTCACTGCATTTCTATTTAACATAAAAATGATTGTAGTGTAGTACACATATTTTTAATGACAAATTAAAAAAAAATATATATATATGAATTTTTACGTTTTTTACAGAACAACAATAATAGTAGTAGTCTGGATGACTAGGTACAGATTGTAATCTATGTCTATGTAAAGTAGCATCAAATTTTGAACGTATCATATCATGATGCAACTTCAATGTCTTATTTTCTTCTGGACAACTATTAAAACTACAATTATTTTTGAAATGGCCACATACTACCTATATAGTTGTAAGAAAAACAGAGAACTCATATTATTTTCAATCATAATTCAACAAAAGTTTTTCTTATACCCTAATATAATCAGTTATATCAAACGTGATTAATTGATGTTGGCATCGATCTACAGCACATTGAACATCCAAATAGCGTACATCTAATCCTAAATGTAAAGCTCGAAAAACAGTAGTAACCAAACATCTATCATATGCTTGTTGAACTTTAAGTAAATATTTGTCAAGAATAGTTCCATCTGATTAAAAAAAATGAAATTTATAAAATTAAAATAATTTATAAACGGAAGAATAATTAGCTATATTAATTTAAAGGAAACATTTACCTACAATGTTTACCTTAGTTATTATTGAGGTGGACATAATGCCCATGCACTCAGACCTGTTGGTCCATTGTGCGCAAATGTTTACCTTAAATATAATAACTTAAAATTAAAATAAAATTATTCAATCAGTGTTTTATAAAAAATAAAATATTAATAATCCAACTTTATTTTTCTATTAAATTATATCAAAATGTCAATTTTGAAAAATATTTTATTTATTTGATATTGCCCTTATTGTTGCAATATTCTAACTTAACTAATTAAGAATGTTATTAAATGCCAACATGTTTTACCTTCATGATTATCTGATATTTCATTATTTAAAAAGGATTCCTCCTCTTCATCACTGCTAATAGTTGAACTGCTAAAATAACATTCATCTGAATTATTAAATTCAGGTACAGGTGTTTCATGTTTAAGAACATTTTTAGATACTAAAGCATGTTCAATAAAAATTCTCTGACAGTCATAAACCATAACATTTAATATCGGTGAACAGCTAAGAAGTGTATCTTCTGATGTATCATCAATAGTATCAGGATCATGAATACCCTTAACTGTTGTTGGACAAAAATTTCGCTCTATTCTAAACTGAGCCCAAGACATATCTTTATTGTGATTTTTTGGTTTAGATCCAACTGACATGGCTCTATTGTAATGCACAGTTGTTGAGTCTTGCATGGCATTATCAAGTGATTGTGGACAGGATTTTATACCATTTCTGTTACAATGCCATGTATTAGCCCTAAGACGACAAGTTGGTTCTTTATCTAATTGTTCAGGAAATTCAAATTTAGTTTCATTATTTCTTCCAAGTAGTGGAGTAACTGTTAATATTAAGCGAGTACTATTCACACGTTTGACATAACACTGTCCATTATCATATCTTTTAATTTTTACTGTTTCTAAATTATCACTATCTAATTTGTTAGTATCATTTACATCAAATGATCTATCATTTATAGTACATAGCTCAGCATAAAAAGCACATTCTAACATTGTATTGAGTTTATTCCCATCTAATAATAAAAATAATAATTGGTTATAACATAACATAAACAATATAATAATATTTTGATTACCAATAGTTGAATGTGTTGAAAAAAGATTAAATGTTATAGAAGAATGACAATGACATTTAGTCAATAAATTAACTAAGCTAAACTCAAAAGGTAACTTGTATATTCTGTCATCAATACTAATTTTTTTTTTTTTTTCTTGTGTTCTACTCAAATTATTAACAAAATTATAAGTTGAAACATTTGGATCCAAACACATTTGTTGCATATGTTGAAAAGTGTAAAGGGATCCAATACAATCTGCATCAACTAACCACATCTAATAAAAAAATAAATATTAATATTATACAATATAATTGTAAATAATTAATTGTTAATAAAGTGAATAAAATATCTACATTGAATATTTGTATAAATAAAATAATTTATTTGCTTTTTATTAATGTAAAACAAATTATTATCCTAAGTAGCGAAATGTTCTTGTTAAGGACCAATAAAATGATATTAAAAAATCAATCTAATTCTCCCATTTTTTTCATAAATTTTCGCTAATGCTATCTGGGTTACTTTGTAATACAGTATATTTATTACAAAATTGTATACTAAATGTATTATTCTGTAAATGTAGAATAATACATTATTAGGTGTCTTATATAAGACACCCATAGCTGATGGTGTCAAAATGACACTTTGGAAAAAAATGAGGTAAGTGTAAGATTAAAAAGTTAAGTGACTATACTTTGATTAAAGATAGCAGTGATTTTTTAAAATTAAGTGCTATTTATAATCGATCCCCAAAACCAAATGTATTAAAAAGAAAGGAAATCTTAATATTTACACTCTATAATCTCAAAATTAATGTTTTGTTACTTAGATCTATTTAGCTCTATATATTTCACATATACAAAGTGTTATATATATATATATATATATATATATAT